TAAAAAAAGGATTAAAAGTATGATAGAAATGTCAAAGAAAAATGTTCAGCAAGAAATCACAAGCCAAATCAATAATATGCAAAAAAATTGTGCTGATGAAACAGGACTTAGGCCACAACGCAAATGCTTGTTATGCAGAAAACCCAGCCACTATCAAAAAAAATGTCCAAGTGCTAAAGAAAATTAATCACATATATTGTTAGATATATAACAGGTTATTGCGCTTAGATTTGATACTTTATTGAAATAGTTATGAACGCTATGTGATAGCTTAGGTATTATAATTATGTATCATTAATTCAATTTGATTAGGGTTGGCTTAATTTTTGATAGCGTTATGTTAGGTGTGTAGTTATTATTGTTAGAACAAATAGGTTCTAATAACTGCCAAAGCAACTGTTATTATGACGAAATTGATATTGTAGCACATCAAACAGATTTTTTGTGTTAAGCATTGTCCTTAATTAACTTGAATTAGATACAGCGTGAGAGAAAATTATACTTCGTATTTTCAAGTTTATCACTGGATTCAGTTCTTGAAAAAACTTGATTATAACGTAACTACATATCATATATGTCATATTAGATTTTTCAAGGGCTGTATCCAGTAAACGATATCAATATATGAAAACTTGAAATCTCGGGTTGCTAGTTGTAAAACTCGCTATGTAGATCACTTGGGCGAGATTTTACTTTAATTTTGATCTATGTACCTGTACATATATAGCGAGTTTACTCGATTTTATAAAAGGTATCGATACGTAGTATGGTACAAACCAATTTCCTATTTTATCAACAGAATTGATTCGAAATTAGATTAGGGTTATCTGGACTTATAGTTAGTATTAGCTGCGCGAAATGCTATGTACAGTACAATCAGACCTTTCTAAATACAATGTGACAAAACCATATAACTTAGAGAGATATTGCAGTTAGGGAGATAAAAATTCATAAGTGCAATATTGGTTGGGTCTAAGAGAAGATATGCATTTAGAGAGGCTTTTCATAGAATATGTACTTAGAGAGTTGCATCTAACTGTATATAGATTATATAATATATATTGTATATATATAGTTTATTTTATATTTAATATATATATATATATATAGTATATATTATATAACTAATAAAATTACATATGTGGTGAAATTCACCACTGGTGAGCGTTAAAATCATCCATTAATAAAATATATTTTAAATTATAAAATTTATATTTTGTTTATTTAAATAAAGATTATAAATTTAGTTTGTTTCGAAATAATTCAAAATATCTAATAAATCATATAATTATTGTATTTAAATATATTTCTTATTATTCATATGTTTTATTTAATTTATTTTGATTTAATTCAAAATATCTTGAAAATATTTTGATAGTATTTGATAAATTTGAATTGATTAGCTTTGCTTACTTATTAGTAGCTTTCTTTTAGTTTATAAATAGTTTGCTATTTTGACACATTTATGTTTATTTCAAATTGTTTCACATTAATTCGAAATATTGTGCAATATATAACATAATATTATGTTATAAATTTCATAATATAGTTGTCCCTCCATATAGTCATCTCCCATATAATCACATCATATGTAATCCTATTTTTATTTGGACCAAAATATAATTTAATTTATAAGAAAACAACATCCATATAAGCACAACTCCTCTATAAGCACATTTTAAAAAAAAGTTACTATGTGCCCAACTGTGTGATTATATGGGAAGACAACTATATTACATAATTGGTCGAAGCATAGCAATAGATACTCAATTTTTATATATTAAGTAATACAAAAATTACATTTTTAATATATTTCACCCCAAAAAGTTGTTTTTTTGATGCATCTGCATAAGTATTATAAAGATTATATCAGAAATGTAATTTGAAAATTTTTTTTGTCTGTCTGTACGTGTGTTCAAATTTGTTAAATTAGTGTAACAAAACATGCATATTCACGTGTTTGTATAATGTTCCTATTGAACCTAGGTTCAAAGTTCATGAACATGTTCAAAGTTTTGAATAAAGAAAAAAGCATATAATTGCAA